TTTGTAAAAACCTTAGCGACGCAGTGATTCGAGTTTTCGTAACTTCAATGATGTGTTAGAAGACAATGCCTCCTGGTTTGAAGAATTTGTTGTCTCCGAAGGCCGGAACAGTACTCGACCACGATGATTAAATACATAAAATGATGGATGATTCCTTAAGGTATCAAATGTCCTTAAAAGAAAAAAAAAGCATCAATTTTAGATAAATCTTTATAAAAGCAGGTAAATCTGTAAAGCACATAAATCTTTGAAAATAACCAGGTTTCTAATGAATTACAAATTTGCTATGGACTATATTTTAACTCAGCCTAATAAGCCCATAAAATCAGACTGTAAATGATAATCATACTAGATCTCTCTCTCTCTCTCTCTCTCTCTCTCTCTCTCTCTCTCTCTCTTTCTCTCTCTCTCTCTCTCTCTCTCTCTAACTGTACAGAGAAAATAAGAAACCTGGAAAGCCCACACAAAGCTCTCAAATTTGTTTATTATTATATAATAAACTAAACACTAGGTCAACTTTAATTACCTCTATAAATCTAAAAGTGGCTTTTTCCAAATAGTCTTCCAAAAACATGCCCATAGATTACACCTTTTGATTATTCTCATTTGGCCCTCACTATTCAGCCATATAATCATTTCACAGATCTGTTTCCCACAAATCTTTCAAGCATAACAACAAAACCTCCCATTGGCCAAAATCATATATTTTGCTACCACCTACTTGATCCCATTCTGTTTTACTTCTTTCTTTCCAGGCCCCTTGCCTGTGATTCTTGGTAGACTCTTTATAAGAGCAGCAGTGATAGTGGAATATCCTTTCTTTTCTAGTGAGATCTATATAGTTTTTAAAAAAGTTCACAAACACCTTGGTGTATGGCCTTTAGTGTTTGCTTTCAAGTGTTATTTTTCAGAAGAACCCTTCCTTTAATTAAAACTCAAATCTCAAAGTCAGCTGACCTAATCATTCAAGCACACCCCCATATAAAACAGGAGGTATATAAATATACATTAAAATGTAACAGCATGTACAAATATGTAACAATGAATTCCACCATTATGTATAACTATAATACACAATAAAAACAGAAAACAACAAAAAGATGCAAATCAAAAGTAAAAGTAAGGGGGTGAGGAGGGATGAGTTTCCTTTAACACATACATTTTTACTGCAAACCCTTCTAAGAAAATACAGTTATTTCCAGGATCACGAAAGTGGATAAATTTCAGAGATGGAATTAAACAAAACTGAAGTAGAAATATGAGAAAGAAAAACAAACAAAGCTTGTGAAAACAGCTTAGAAAAAGTCCATAAAAAAAAGAAAGTAGAGTAACATTTTTTTTCATCCAGGAATACAAAAGGGCCTGTGGGCAGAGCTTATGTCACAGACCAGGTTCAAACAAGAGAGTAAACAGAAAAACCATTATTCTTCCAAAGACTAAGCTGTCACAAGAGGATAAAAGATGAATAAAGAAAGAAAAGAGAGAGGGGGAAGGGGGAGAGGAAGGAAGGAAGAGAGAGAGAGAAGGAGGGATTGTGGTTAATGTTTTGGAGGAATTATCTATGTATCTATTTCTCTCCCTCCAACCAACCAATAAATTTAAGTCTAGCTAGTACTATAAGATAATACCTTATTCTAATATCAATGATCAGACATTCAGCTTCCATTTTTCCTATCATATCAAACACTTCCTCGATATTTTTACCTCTTCTTCATACAAACTACATAATCAAATGTAAGAAGAAAACCAAGTTTCATGTGACAGAAATTACATAATAAAGCAAATCCCTACAAAATAAATGCCTCTGAAAAGGGAAAGACTTACTTATTTTTTAGTTCTGAAGTGGCATCCATGTCTTTAAACTCCCCTGCAATATGAACTATACCATAACAGGTAACTGCAAAGGCCAGAAGCGTCTGAAGAACTATCTGTGAGTATAAAGATTGAGATTACTAAATAGCACAAAAATATTATACAAAACTTTCACAATCTTCTCTTCTACTCTGTACGGCTTCTAACAAGTAGTCCCTTTCAGTGCTACTTATGTAGGAAATCAATTATCACTTGAAATGATTTGCACTCAGACCCAATAAAATCTTCTATTCATCCTGTGGCTTGGCTACAAAAATAGGTGTGATGCTTCAATAAATAAACTCAAATAGGGGCTGGGATGTGGCTCAGTGGTAGAGCGCTCACTTAGCACGGGCAGGACACGGGTTGGATTCTCAGCAACACATAAAAATAAAGGCATTGTGTTATGTCCATCTACAGAAAAAAAAAAGATTCATATTCTCTCTCTCCTTTAAAAAAATAAACTAAAATAAACAAAACAGTACTAAATAAATACAAATCAGTATTCATTTGTCAAATATTACCTGTTTGAAGGAGTAACTGAGAATTTTGAAAATGTGTTTTTTTTTCAAAATAAGTACACAAAGCATATGCTACAAAGTAAAGAAAAGCAATAAAATTACACCACTTACCCACTATCCAGCTTAAATAGACAGTTTCTAGCACCTTTCAGGTGCCATGTGTCCCCTCTGATTATTTCCTTTACCCTCCTTCTCAAAGTTGAATATTGTCCCCAATTGTGTTAATCAGTTCTTTGCTTTTCTTAATAATTTTTCTAGCTATATATTCATCCCTACCTTCTTTTTACTTTTGCTCATTTTGAAACTTATTTAAATGGACTTGTGTATTCTTTTGAATCTAGATGTTCCTGTTCAACATTATGTTTGTAAAATTATCCCCTGCTGCAGTATACAGTTATAGTCTGTTTTCATTATGTTTTGTATTTCATTATATGGAAGTTGCACAATTAATCCATTCCACTGTTGATGGATATATGGGTTGTTTCCTGTTATTTTTATGTTAACTTGAATATTCTTGTGTGTCTCCTGATGCACAGGAGTGGAAACACTGAGTATAAAATATGCACATGTTCAGATTTATTAGGTAATACCAAATGGCTTTCCTCAAAATTTGTGCAAGCAACAAAGTTGAATGTTTGAAACTAACCAACATGAGATTACAAGCATATTTTCTTGATTGTGATTTTCTGAATTTAAAAAATTTTCCAATTTGTAATGTTATTTAAAATAGATATACATGAGTGTGTGTGAATGTTTGTGTGCATCTACCACAAAGAAAATGTGGTAGATAGGTAGCCACATCTACCATACCCTTAATTATAAACAACTCAAGTAAAAATCTGTCACAACCTTTTATTCTGTTCAGATTAAAACCTAATCTCATATGTAATACCAATTTACATTCTGACCACCAATGAACCAAGGAGACTTTTTTCACTGTTAACAAGAATGTGTTAAATCTGAGTTGTCATGAAAATATGTTCAAGATAAATTGTATAATAAAAAACTATAAAATTTTATATATGCACACATGTATAATAACTTTTTTAAAAAGAAAAACTCTATGTTTTGATTAGATAAAACTATATATACATGTTGTTTATCCATAGGAAGAAGTCTGAACTTATATACTTCAAACTATCAGAGGTAGAAATGAAATTGCCAAGGAATAGGATCAGTTTTGTTACTGTTTTAATTTTGTGCAGCCAGTTTTAATTTTTATACTTATTGTTTGATTCCTTTACAAAGAACTTATTACTTTTTAAAGTTCAAATCTAATAAAGATAAAAATTGTGAGTGAAGTTGGAATATGCAATATTTTAGCTTAAAAAATACATTTTCTTTAGATTTCCCATCTATGTGTACCCCTAAACAATGCATTATTAGCTTTGTTGTAAAACTTTACATAAGAAGGAACTTTTCTAAGAAATAAAGTCAAGTAATAAACTTTTTATTTTATTTTTTAATTTAGCACTGACTTTTTATTTAAAATTCCTGAGAACCAAATAATTAATCTTTTAAGTCCCTTTCATACTGTGGTCAGGGTAACTTTTAGATTATTTTTAAAAATATGTTTTAGTAGTAGATGAACACAATACCTTTATTTTATTTTCATTTGGTGCTGAGGATCGAACCCAGTGCCTTCCACAGGCAAGGCAAACGCTCTACCACTGACAGCCCTAGAAAGACTACAGTTCTAGAAAACAGAAATCTTCCACAGTTTCTAAATTTTGGGTTTCACAAAGAGTGATGTGAAGCAGAGAACAGATGTTATTTCATGTCTAAAAAAATGTTAAGACGATAAAAACCAGTAAAAAAATTATCATAAGCAAAGTGGCTAATTTTAAAAATATATTTTAATAGAACATAAATGACCAACTTACATCTATTGGCAGTGATTCATCTTCTTTTTCTGTTAATCGCATGTAAGAACGATCTATAAACCAGAAGCATACCATTAAGGAAATTGTAGCCCATTTTTCTTTCTTGAAATGCAAGCAAATCAATAGATCAAAGAAGTGGCTGACTTATATGCTACATAAAGTAATGCTAATCCCAGATTCCTCAAAAACCTCTATCCTCTAAGGCAGTCAGCCTTATCTTAATTAACTATTTCATTGTCATTTTGACCAGCTTTGTCACCTTGTAAGATGGGGTAAGAGAGATAGATGGGCAAGTATGAGGCAGAAATACCCAAGCATGATTTTTTTTACTAAAGGAATATGAGAAACTTCTGAAAACTATTTATTTCACTAAGTAGTAAAAGAAATAATAATTTAAAAATTAATAAGTCTACAGAAAATCTCATCTCTGAATAGCACCACATCACATAGTAAAGCCAATGTAATACTGGTCTGGAAACATTTTTCTGGAAAAAACATAATGGGGCACTGGTGGACAAGAAATTCCAGGACACCAATTTCTGCATCTAGTACTTTTTAATTATAATTCTGTTGCTACCTTAATTTCAGGAGGCAGTAAAGGATAAAGGAAAAGGATCAGGATTTGAAAGCTGGTAAACTTGGATAATGGTACTGGTAATTTACAACATCTCACTCAAGACATCCTCTGTGACTGTAACATGTAGTTCAATTTTTAGAGTGTTAAAATGTGGGAGTGAGAGGGGAGTATGTCTTAGAATCAAAGAAATACAGTATCTTTTCATTTCCTGAGTTTCTGAAGCAGCAAAATGGGAATGTGAGGATTAGGGAGATTCACTATACCATAGCTGCTCCACTATAACAAAGGTCATTACAGCAAAGATGATCATGCTATCTGCTGCAGCAATCCCACATGACATAATTAGTTTCAAAGGTATTAGTGTCTTGCCAACATGAGTATTACAAAGAGGACTCACTGCAGTGACAAATCCACAAGGCATTCTCATCACTTGAAACATAAAAATACAGAATCCTCATTCTAGATAGACCTAGGGCAATTTCTATTTAATCATGTACATTGGCCTTCAAATATAGAAACTGTTTTGAGTAAATGTGTATGAATTCTTTCTTAAAAGAGAATGTGTTTAGAGACATATTCTTAAGTTTTCACTTACAGAATTGTTAAGGACAGGTGTATAAAGAAAAAAAAAATCAAACCAAAACCAACAATAGATTTGGACTAATCTTCTACTGTCTGTACCATTTCTAGCTAACTTTCTTGTTTCCATGCAGCTTAACCTGACCCTAACACTATCTTTAGCCAGGCATTTCTTCATCTGTAAAATGAAGGAGTTGGACTTCAGTGATCTCCAAGGGCTCTCCTTGCTCTATGATTGTATAATTTTAAAGCTGGAACTTATTATAGAAATTAACATTGTACTCCAATGTACCCTAATCTCCTCCAGGACCATGCTTCTCAAACTAATGTGCACACAAATCACCTGGGGATCTTATTAAAACGAAGATTCTGACTCAATATATCTGAAGAGAGGCCTGAGTGTCTTCTAACAAGCTCCCAGGTGACGACCAGGAGGTTGGTCTGTTGACCACACTCAGAGTAGCAAGGATCTGGGACAAATTCCTGAACCACCAGTTCCTGGAATAATTAATGCCCCAACTCCCATGCATCCTTATAAACTTTTAGCATAATATTTATATCTCTTCATTGTGATTATATCTTGATCCACTTTTTTACCCCCAGTAGCCTATGAACTCCCTTATGGCATCGCAGTCGCTGTACTTGTAGCAGCTAAGCACGGAGTAATTTCAACCAATGACCAGAGACTGAATTTTATAATACAGTGCAGCACACATCTCTTTTGCCCAAGGTCACACTGATTCGCGGTCAAACAAGTTTTTAACAACCGTCCCTTCAGACTCCCAATTCGGTATTCTTCACCGGTATCACAGTGCCTCCCTGAGGCAATGGGTCACTTAACTTCTTAGTCTATGCCTGGACAGCCTAGAAGTCCCCAGGATATTGTCCACCTAGTTGTCACGAGGCCACAAGCATTCAAAGTCCTCAATCCCACACTCTGCCTGATCTGCCCTATGCCGGATCTGACATCCCTGGCCTGGATTCCCGACAGACGCCAGCTCTGAACCCTAACCCTGACACCAATCTTTCTTCAATCTCGGGTGTCCACACCCTTCAAACCCCAAACCTTACACCGCAGATCCTGAATTGTATTTCTGAGTCTGTAATGTAAATAACCGTTCCTCGGACTTTCAGTCCGACAGTCCCTTAGGGGTGCACCCACATAACGCCCCCAGGGTCCTCACCACAGAGGTCTCCTCCTCCAGGTACTTACGCTGCGCAGCAGAAAAGGCGGCGTGGGCTAGGGCAAAGAGGCCGATGCCTACTAGCCCCTTCCATAGCGATGGCGCCATGATTCTGAAAAAGCAATAGCCCCCCCCCCAAAAAAAAAAAAACGCGAAGTGTGGCTGAGTTGTTCCTTCTTTCACCGGCGGGTGTCCGCTCGGCGCGGGAAGATGACGTCACTGAAGCCCTGGGCGCGAAGTGCCTTAGTGGTGCAATAACTAGAGAACCGTGAGAAAGAGGAAACAGGAATGCCGGGAAGAAGGAGAGAGCGACACGGAAAAAGGTCGGTCAGAGTCTCCGAGCCTGCGCAGTGTGGCCTTTCTGCGAGGGGCGGAGGGTGTAAAAGAAGTGGAGAAAGTGAGACCAATGGGGAAGCGAAGAAGGGCTCCAGCCAATGAACACAGGCCGCGGGAGAAGGGGCGGGGCCTGCGGAGAGGCCAGGGCGGAGCCCGGGATGGGGGGGAGGCGGCAGTAAGCAGTAGGTTGCTAGAAGCAGTGGTTGGTGCTGGATTCTGACTGCGTCCCCCAACAGTGTTTTTTATGTTTTTGTTGTTTTTTATTGCTTCGTTGGTTTTGGGTTTTGATTTTGGTTTACCTTCAAGCTGTGTGCTTTTCTTTCCCGCTTTTGCCCTCTTGGAACTGGCAAGTGTAAGGAGGCAAGAGTGTAAAATTGAGGAGGCAGATGGAGCTTCCAGGGCACTAACCTGGATTTGGAACCCCAAACACTTGGCATACTGGCGGCGCTCAGCAAAGTTAGTTTTTTTCTCTTAATGTTCAAAGGGTCTTGGGGGAAAAAATGTATGTATGTATATGTGTGTGTGTGTATATACACACACACACACACACACACACTTGTTTTTCTCCATTTTTATTTGTCTTGACCCCCTAAAATCCAGACATTCAATAGTAACGTTCTCCCCTTTACCACTTTCTGCTCTTCTCTACCCTGGTGAGCTCATCCATTCATTTCTTATTTCAACCAGCATAGATATTACAGTGATTCCAAATCGGTAGCTCTTCTCTCAAATATCTCCTTTCTTAGCTCCAGATCTTTATTTCCAACTACTTTCTGAACATTTATTTTCATATGGGTGGTCCTGTGGCACTTCAAACTTATATACCCAAAAGGGAATTCATCTTTTATTTCCCCAAACTGCACCCATTCATACACTACTCCCTGGCTGAGTGGCACAACTTTGTTAACTACATATCACAAGGTAAATGCAAACAATAGACTACCATTCTTTCCCTTGAACTCTATCAGAATTTTATGTTTAGCTTCATCACTTTACCTACTCTCACTTCCTCAAAGATGCCTAACCTTACTGCTCCTTTTAAGTTTGCAACATTCTCATTTATGATCCCCTTAGCCTGCTGTTTTATATCACCTTCTAACCTACTAAATAATTGATATATTTATGGTGTTTGCTGTGATATTGTTCAATATTTCTCTTCCTCCACTGTAATGTAAGTTCCAAGAGGACAGATTTTTCATCGCCTAGAACCTTCACTATTACTTGGTGGGCATTCACTAAATGTTTGTTGGATGAAGAATGAGTGAATTGTGGAAAAGAAATATTACTGTTTGAAAGGATATCTACATTGTCTCCATTATTTTGAATTAGGCTTCCAAAATCCCTGTGGACTTCTAATATACTTGAGTTTCCTCAAAGCTGAAAAGAACTAGAAAATAAGAAAGACACCCAAAGTTCAAAATACTTACTCAACTTTACCTATATAATTATTGCTATATATATATATATATATATATATATATATATATATATATATATATATCACTGTCCAAATCTTTACTCATGATCATTATTTTTCCCTGAACTGTTTCCAATTTCTTCACCTGAAAGCCAAAATTTTACACAGAACTTGATCAGTGTCAAATGTAGTATAATGTATTCCTTTCAAATGTAGTCCTATTTATAAGCCTCGTAATCAGGAAGAACCAGCAGGTAATATGTAGAGTTGGCAGGAAAGTGCTTCCTTCTCCACTCTTGGGAGTTAGCAAGATAGAAATGATAGTTAACAAAAAAATCTTAAAACCTCATTTTTAGCTTGGATGACAGTCAAGTTGAAATTTTCAGGTGTTCTGGTAAATTGCCTTTTGTATATCCATTTATCAAAAGCAGAAAATGATTACACATTTTCTTAAAGTAGCTGAGATGTGGTTCCATTCTTTTAAAAATATAAGATTATGGAAAAATAGATCCAGTAAGGTATATGGTACTTGTACATGCCATTAAGCATTATTTTAGTCTTCAGTGAGATGACTCATGTCCAGACATTGAGTTGTATTTTCTCTACTGCTCTCTTAAGATGCCTTCCCCACTCTTATGGTCAGCCTCTTACCTATGTACTGAATACAAGAGAAACTAGCCTAATTTCACATTTTCTAATAGTATTTAAATCATGATCATGACATGAGATTTAAATTGTCTTTATCTGTAGATTCCAACCTGAAGAGAAGCCAAAGTATTCATAATGACAGTTATCAAAGATCATTCAAATAAGTACCTTGGGTTCTCTCATACACGATTCTGAAGGTTGGAATTAATTCTAAAGATGCAAAGTACAGCTAATGACAGCACTGTTTTCATGACCTCTTAGAACAAAAGTCAAACCTCAGGAGAAAAAGTACTTAAATTCCTAAGAGACCCCAGAAATGCCTTTAGTTTTCCTAAGCAACTATTCATATGCACCCCAGAAGTGATGTGGATATTATTGAAGGTGGAGATAATGATCTCTAAAGCCCTTCCTACTGAGATATGAAGACTCATCACATTTCTCAGGGCAACCTGTTGAATAGAGAAAGCACAGCTAACCAATAATTATCTTTAAAGTTCATTTACTCTGTTCCATGACACTGAACTAGATGAATATGTTCACACACCACAAATTCATGTCTACATTTCCTATGCAAATTCTCCCTCTCTACCCCACTGTCCTTTCCTACTTAGTTCGCAAATCCACTTTCCCTAGGAATATGTTCCGATTATAGGTATCTATAAAAGGTAAGTATCTATTGTAGGGATTAAACCTTTCTTCAAGCTATTTGTATTTAGTACAAATAAAACAGTATACTTAGTACAAATATCTCTGGGTAACAAATTCTAGAAGCCTGCCACCTTCTGGGCAAACTAGTATTTTCAAGTTTGAAATTGCGTCCTCTGCTTTTTTTCTTTTTTAATTTATTTTTTAGTTGTAGATGGACACAATATCTTTATTTATTTTTATGTGGTGCTGAGGATTGAACCTGGGGCCTCTCATGTGTGAAGCAAGCACTCTACCGCTGAGCTATAGTCCCAGCCCCTGCTTATTTTTTTTCTTTACCAAAGTAATGTGTGTTCATTTTAAGAAATTCAAACAACAACAACAAAAATGTATTCCTCTTAAAGCATTAAAGTGGTGCCATGGTATTTTGAGTTTTGAATCTTAGTAAACAAGACTGTGGTTACATGATCCATATCTTTAAGGTTTGTTTGATGGATGGTTTATATTATAGTAGTTAAAAGCATTTGTTCTGACATTGGATTGGGTTTGAATCCTGGCTCTTCCTTTTCTACCTCTGGGAGATTGGAGAAGTTACTTAACTTTGCTGTACCTCAGTATATTGATCTGGAAAATGAAGTCAATAATAGTGTTTATTTGATACAGTTCTTATCAGGATATAAAGTGTTTTAGAACCCTCTCACACATACAAAGCATTCAGTAAATGTTACCTATTGTTATGGACTCTGCTAGATATTTTTTCAAACTGAACAGGTTTCTTATCCCTTTAGTCTTTTCTAAAACATCAATTGCTTCTTCTCTTTTATTATTTTAATTGTTCTTCTCTGGACACTTCCCAGATGTACCAGTATCTCTCTTAGCGTTTCATTACCATATATGCAGAAAGTATCCTAGGTTATGTGTATGAGGTTAATATGATTATTCATTTCAAAGAGACTTCCTAATGACACTGATGAATGTATTCGCTTTTTCAGCACATTGGTTTGTTCTGTTCAGGAAATAAACTGTTGAAAACTCCAGCATTGTTATGCTGAGTTCTAAATGGTAGCTGTGACCTAATCTTGGTTCTGTTTTTTTTTTTTTTTCTGCCAGCACCGGGGATTGAACTCAGGAGTGTCCTACCATTGAGCTACACCCCCAGCCTTCTAAAAGTTTTTTGAGATGGGGTCTTGGTAAGTTGCTGATACTGCACTCAAACTTGGGATCCTCCTGCCTCAGCCTCCCTAGTCACTGAGATTGTAGGCCTGCACCAATGTACCTAATTTTGGTTCTGTTTAAATATAGGTATTCAGTATAGTAACTACCCAATGACTAAGTCTCTTTCCATCCTCTCTTCTTGGGAGAATGCAGAAGCTCCCACAGCTTCAATATTGTGCATGCTCCCCAATGTACTGCTGAGCCTGACTTCACTCCAGGACGGTTTCTGCCTATTTTGATATTTGCGCTTAGATATACATCCAACCTGTTAGCAGAGCTCTACATTCTGACCTCATATTAATGCTACTAATGACCCTATGTGTTTTCTGGCTATCTAGGTTCAAAACCTTGGAGTCATCTTTTGATTCTTTTTCCCCAGCACTTCCAAGCCATGCACCAAATCAACTGCCAAGCAGTTTACTCCTAGAGGAGAAAGTGGTGGTGAGAGTGAGAAGTGTGGAACAGTGTTGGTTTGAGAGAGAATCACTTTCAGAAGGAAGCCAAAGGCTCATGGGGTTTAGCTGCCTGGTAGAGTTATTGTCCTCTCAGTGTTCTTCCTGGGATCACAAGTTGGAGGCTGGCCTGGTCACAGAGTGAGCCCCTGTTTCAAAATAAAATAAAAAGGGCTGGGATGTAGCTCAGTGGTAGAGTGCTTTGCCTAGTATATGGAGGCCCTGGGTTTGATTCCCCAATACTGGAAAAAATATACTCCTGGAACTCTGATATGATGAGGTTGCTGAGGAAGCATTCTAGGTAGCTGGGGTCACATAAACAGAGGTAAAATCTGGGACTTGAAGACATTTGTTAGCTGGCCACCATGGCACATGCTTATGATCCCAGTGCCTTAGGAGGCTGAGGCAGGGGCATCAGAAGTTCAAAACCAGCCTCAGAAAATTAGCCAGGCCCTAAGCAACTTAGCAAGACCCTGCCTCTAAATAA